AAAGACACGGAGAAACGGTTCCCCAAACTGGGGAGGGGCAGGCAGAGCCAGAGGAGGACAAGCCTCCAGGGCGAGGAGGGAGGGAGGGAAGGCGAGGGGAAGGGAGCCGGGAGGGGAGCCCAGGACGGAGTGAGGAGGGAGGGACGGAGGCAGAGCACAGGGTCCAGGGTGAGCAGAGACAGGGAGAGACAGCAGGCCTCCGAGAGAGGGCGGGCAGGCGGGCGAGGGGAGGCATGGAGATGGGATGGCAGAACAAAAGTCAAACCCTGCCGCGCCGCGCCCGCCCCGCGCCCGCCGCTGGGTACCTGGTCTGCCTCCTCCTTGCTCATGGCCAAGGCCAGCTGCAGCTGCAGCTCCTCCTCCTCGCTGCTCTGCGGCCACGCCTGCTCGGCTTCGGGCGGGGCCCCCGCGCCCACTGCTGCAGAGGAGGCTGGGGGGGGGGGGCGGTCAGTGAGACAGAAGACAGGGGAGCCCCCAACCCGACCTCCTGCTTCCAGCCCAGCCGCCCTGAACCCATCTGGGGCCCAGGAGTGGGGGAGGGGCCTGAGCTGAGCTCCCGCATCCCCACCTGGGAGGACAGGTCAGGGAAGCACAGCCCTGCAGGCGAGGGGGGACCTGGGGAACCTGAGCTCCCCCCGGGGGGGCCAGGCCTCACTGTCCGGGGCTGGCTGACAGCTAAGGACCGTGGGCATTAGGGAGGCACAACACCTGCCCGGGTCATGGACGAAGGAAGGATGGAGAGTCGGGAGGGGCTGAGGGGACAGGCACCGCGAGGCTGGGGCAGGCGGCCACGCGCTGAGCTGACCAGGCCCGCCCTGCTCCTCCCGGCCCCCAGCCCCAGCCTGAGGCCGAGACTCAGCCTGTGGAGAAGTAGAGGCACCAGGGCAGCAACGCCCCTCAGCTCCGGGCCGTCAGCCCTGCGGACCCGCTCTTGGCCCACCCCTCACGGCGCCCAGGGCTCGGGTCAGCAAACCGGGCCGCGGCCACGGCCACGCTGGCCCAGCCTTTATCAGCCCGTCAGCCAAGAAAGGGTTTCATTGTTTTAAGGGGTTGGGAGGGAAAAAATCCAAAGATGAATAATATCTCAAGTCGCCGAGAAAAGCACACACAACCGAAACTTCAAGGTCTAAGACCAACGCCTGCGAGTGGCAGGAGGAGGCAGCCCTGAGGCCAAGCGGACGCTGAGAGCCCACCTCCCCCTGCCTGGAGCGCACCCCCCACCCCACCCCACCCCCCGTGGCCTGGAGCGCGGCCCTGACCTCCGAGTGGCTGCTGGACGGAGAGTACTGTGACAGGTCCGAGCAGAACGCCCAGCCCTCCCAACACGCCAGGCTCCCGCGGGCAGGCGGGGGTCATGGCTCCCCGGCCATCTGGTCCTTCCCGCAGGCCCAGGCGCCTCCTCCTGCCATTGCTCACAGAGAACTCTGCACCCCGTTGTCCGTAGGCACCGCCTCCCCATCGCCTGGAACTGCCTGGCCCCTTGGGTCCCCGGGCCCCGGCCCCACCAGGGCAACGTCCCAGCGACACGAACTGTCTGTGCCGTGTGGCCCACCGCGCTGACACCGCCGTTTCTGCAGTGACGCCCGCCTGCCCAGGACACAAGGCCTTTCCCCCGCCCAGTGGTCAAGCGGAAAGCTCCCCGAGATGGGCCCTATGCTGGGGGCCACACACAGACGCCCCAGTGCCTCTTTCCCAATGCAGGTCACCACCCCAAACCGAGCTCGCTCACCCCACCACTTCCTGGGGGTCAAGAGCAGGCTCTGCCTCCAGCTGCTCCCCAGCCACTGCTGGCCTGTGCCTCACACGGCCTCTGGGCCTCCGTGCCGCCTGCTCCCCCCAGGCCAGGCTGCGCAGAGGGCGTGCCCTCCCCCGGGGGCTGTCCCTGACCCGGGGCTTGGGGAGCCCTCTCCCTCCAATGGCATTCTCTCCTCCTGGGCACGGACACGGACAGGACAGGACTGCGGGCACCCAGCCCTCTCCAGGGCCCAGGCTGCGCGCAGGACATCGCTCAGCTGGCATCTGGGGGTGAGCGCAGCGAGGAGGGCAGGGGCAGGAGGAGACCAGCTCCTGGGCCACGGGACACGGCTCACCCGTGGCGGTCTGCGCCAGCTTCTCCTTGGTCTTGAGCGCGTGGGCTCGCTCCTCCCGCAGCCGGTCCTCGTCGCGCAGTAGGGCCACCAGCTGCTTGGCCTTCTCGCGCACGTTGACGCCCTGGTCCTTGCCGTCGCGGTCCACGTACTGGAAGTCCTTCAGCGTCTGCACAGCGTACATGTTCTCCTTGCACTGCTGCGACACGCGCTCCGAGCCCGTCTTGATGAGGTACTCCATCAGCGTCATGGCCTGCGGGGGGCGGGGGACACGGCGGTCACTCAGGTCCCAGCGCCAGCCCCGGCCTGTCCACAGGATGCCGGACCACAGCCTGAGGGGAAGGCGGCGCTGACCGTGCCGCCCCCGCTGAGCCTGACCACACAGGTGCCCGAGTGACAGCAGCACCAGGAGCCCAGCTGACCCGCACGGCAGGGCGAGGACGCAGCTCACAGAGCAGGGCGGCCAGCACCGGAGGCCGAGCTGACGCCATGGGCAGGGTGTCTGCCTGGGGTGACGACGCTGACAGCACTGGGAAGGCGCTTAAGGCCCCCAACTCCAGACTTCAAAGGGGTCGGTGGCGTGCCCTGGGAGCTACGTGCACGTCCGTAAGGGCCGCAGCGGCCGTCACCCAGCCCCCGGGCCTCGTGGAGGCCCGGACCCAGCTGCTTCTGTGAAACGCAAATGTAAAGGGTAGGGAGACAGATGACTGCCCGTCCGCGCCAGGCCGCGTTCCCCACCAGAGCCCGTTCCCACAGACCCGAGCCAGACCGCCCCAGCCACACTGCGCCCCAGTGCCCCCTCCCCCAGCCCGACACACCGCCTTCCGCTGCAGACTGAGGTCTCTATAGGTGGCTGGTGTAGAGCAGCCACAACTGCAAGTGTGAAACTTCACACCAACAGGCTGGGCAGGAGGGGAAGGGGGGGGAGGAACAGCCTTTGGTGCCTCTGCACTTTATGATGTGACAACAAATTGTCTTTTCAAGTTAAATTAAAAGGGGGGAGGGAACGGGCAGGCCTTTGTAGCCCGGAGCCTGCGGCCTGGGGAGCCAGATACCCCCGTGGCGGCCTCCCTCGGAGAAGGGCACACCTTAGAACACGCTGCCCAGAGCCCCCAAACCCGCCCAGGGAGGAGCTGCGGGAGGGCCGGGCACTGAGGCACGCCCTCTGAACCCGTGACCTCTGCCGGGAGCACGGCCGGGCCACTGACACGGGAGCCAGACCTGGGCCTGGCAGGCTTCCCGAAGGCGTGTCACAGTATTTACCTCTGCAAGCGGAGGTTAGTCTTTAACTGGCCCTCCAGGTGTTTGCGCGGTGGAGGAGAAAGGAAAGGACAAGTCACCCCTGCGGGAGGCGGGCTCCCAACCCTGCCGGCCCTGCTCCCCACACGCGACACAGCCCCCTGGCGGAGGGCACCCCGCTCACGCGTCATGGGACCGAGAAATGCCAGGCAAACAGCCTCGCCTCAGTCCTGGGCGCACCCTGTGCGAACGAACCCTGAAAATGCTCATTTCCAGAGCTCGGGGACTTGGGGATTGTGGTGAAAAGACAGTGAACCCGGAAATAACCCAAACACCCACCCCCACCCCCACATCCCCACCCCCACGGGGGCAACAGGCTCCCGGGTACCCGCCATGTGGTCGTAGGAATGGCCGCCACACTTGTCAACCTCCCGCCCGGCGGGGAGCGTGGGGGCTGACACCAGAACCGCTGTGAGACGTTCTAGGACAATCTCAGCAGACAGGGCAGGGCCTGTGCTGGGCGGTGGCCGCGCAGGTGCGCACACCTGCAGGAGCGAGCCAGGTTGCACACTCCCGCCCTGGGCCTCAGTGGGAAGTGGGGACGTGCTTTAAAGGTGGGCAACTAGCTGGTCCAACAGTCCGTTCCCTCTGGAAGCAGCCGGGCCGCGCCGCCCGGGGCTCCAGGAGGAGCGCTGGGTGAGGGCCAGAGGGGAAACACGCCAGCTTTCTGTCCCAGCACGTGCGGTCCTGTCCCGACCACACCGCTGTGCCCCACAGAACAGACACTGCACACCCAGAGGCCGGCCTCAGCCGACAAAGCTTTATCTACAAACAGGCAGGGCCAGATTGGCCCCTGGGCCGTAGTTGGCTGCCCAGACGCGCATTCCTGGGACCAGGCAGCTGACACAGCCGAGTCAAGAGGGGGCTCTGGGGCTCCCTCCCGGAGAGTGTCAGCACACCCGGGGCCCAGCCTCTTTGTGCCTCGGTTTCCTCCCCTGGAACACGGAGACGGGAAAGTGCCTCCACCGTTCCCTGCCTCGGGCGCTGGTCAGGAAGAGCCAGACGCCCAGGGCCCCTCGGGACTCAGGGCCTGGCACACGGCATCCCTCCAGGCACAGCCCCGTCCCCCAGCTGCGCCCCGTGGACTCGGCCCTCCCGGCCCTGGCCCTCTGTCACCTGCATGCAAAGGCTCGCCCGGAAATGACCAAAAACTGACTCAACGATGAGTCGAGCGAACTGCTCACCCAGTCTTGGTCTGTCGGGAAGGCAGGGACCAGAGCCACGGGAAGCAGGTAAGATGCTAAGGGTAAACGCCACGTGGCCATCTGGCTGCCACGCCCACCGACCTCCCTGCTCTGTGACGGTGACGCCCAGGCCTCAGTCCATCTCAACGGGGAATCAACCCTGCCTCCAGCGGACAGCCCGGCTCACCCAGGCCCCAGGCCCCCACCCATGGTTCCTGAGGAATGACAACAGGAGGCCCCTCCAACACTCCTGGGCTGGACCCTCACACGTGGGAGGTCCAGGGACTGGCCCGAGGCCGCACGGCCGGCAGTGGGGCCTGGCCACCAACCCAAGCCCCCGCCCCTGGCCGCTTCTTTACCCAGAGCAGCACATGGGAGCCCAGCTCGAGCGCTGCGGGCAGTCGGTCTGTCCGGTCCCTGGGGAGGGTGCCTGCCTGCACCACTGGGCGAGTCAACGAGCCGCTCGCGTGGACGGCACTGCAGCCACATTTATCCAAGTGGCACATTCACGCGTCCTTCCACCCAGAAATCCCAACCCCACAACATGGCAATGCAAGAACGCTGAAGGCAGCCGTGTTTGTGCAGCTGGTCCTGCCGAGCAGGCCAGCCCACACACAGACTGCTGCGCGCTCGTTAAAAACAGTGACAAATCCTTTCTGTCCCCACAGGGTCTCATCTCTAGGACTCAGGCTCGTTTCCCTATGAAAAGTGGGTGTAAACGGCGCACGGCAAAACCACGCTAATGTACGGCTCCGTTTCCCACAAGGGCATACGCCATGTAAGCGCCTGAGATCCGTCCGTGGCCCCACACACCCCCGGTGCTCGGACATACAGACAGGGCCCCGCAGGAAGACAGAGGCTGCGGACGCGGCTCTGGGAGGGAACTGGACTGGGGCAGGGGGTCGAACATTATGCACCTGCTCAGGCCTCCCAGGTGCGTGACTCCTGGAAGGAGTGGCCACGTCTTCAGAAATAAGTTAAAGTCAAAATCCTAAGACGTCATGTTTGTGGCCACGAAACGAGAGCGATCTTACAGGGAGATGGAGACTCCGGCTCCTCCAGAAACTGGTTGGCCGCAGCCTGTCCGGAGCGCCTGCCCTCGTGTCCCAGCCGAGCCCCCTGCCCACCCACGAGTCCGCCCGTGACCCCCACCCGCCGCGGGCACTGACCTTGTACACGTGCCGCCAGTTCTTGCCGTGGTCGTTGAGCCGCTTCCAGATCATGCTCATGATCTCCGAGAAGGCGACGACGTTGTAGGTGAGGTCGGCGATCTCAGACATGAGCGAGCTGGACGGGCCCCAGGGGTCGTTGCTCGTGGCCTCGCGGACCTTGATCTCGGCCTCCGAGTAGTTGTGGACGATGTTTTTCATCTGGCGCCGCAGCGACGAGGTCGACATGGCGGCCGGTGGTGGTGCCAGGGGCGGGCCCCCCGGGTCGTGGGCAGAGGGGGCAACTGCAGGAGGGAGGCCACCGCAGGGCTGGCAGGTCACCGCATCTGAGGAGAGGAGGGGCCTTGGAAACACACGCGGGACCCGGGGCCGCCCAGCCCGAACCCCTGCCCTCGTGGGCCCCATGCCAGCCGCGGGAAGGACGGGGTCCTCAGTGACCGCGGAGGCTCCGGCCCTTGCCCCCCTCCATTTTAGTCACCCCGTCCATTTCGGTTCCTCAAATGTGCCCAGCTCCTTCCTGCTCGGGGCCCCTGCTCACCGAGGCAGAGCGAGCAGTGACAGACCACGGCCCAGGGGACACACCCAGCTCAGCACTTCCTGGCCCGCCACCTGGGTGGGCTGAGGACTCCCGCACCTCAGTTTTCTTCTCTGTAAAATGGGGCCCCACTGGTAACTCAGGGAGCTGTGCGGACCAGGGCGCGGGAGGCAGGCTGCCCGGGTGGGCAGTGTCCGGAGCTGGTCACCGGTCACTCCCACTCTCCCCCAGGGCACCACGTCCCAGACCTTAAACAGCAAACGCCAAGGCCTCCGCTGGGAGGGCCTCGTGGGGGCACCTTCGCCTGGTGACTCTGTACTCATCTGTCTCTGGGGCTAAGGCCCCCCCACCAGCCCCGGGGGCAGAGGCCTCGTCTGTCTGGACACTGCTTTTCCCATCAGAGGGGCTGGGCCGGAAGAGCCTTTCAATAAACTGGAAGGAAGGGCAGGGGGAGGGCAGGAAACACCCCTGGAGCAGAGTGGAGGGGCAGAATCCGAGGCAGGGCAGACGCAAGGACTTGCACGGAGGAGGCGGAGGAGCGGGAAGGGAGTGAGAGGCGAGGCTCGGGAGGAGAGATAAGGCCGAGCTCAGCCCTGGGCTGCGGCCTCCCTGGGAGCCAGAGTCCATTATCTCACTTAACACCTCAGGGCAGCTGTGTTCTCACAGGCGCCTGCCTCAGGCCAGTGGAGGTTAAGGGTTTCAGCCAAGGCCGCCGGATGGGCCGGCCCGGGCCCCAGAAGTCATACCTTCCAGGGGAGACCAGGCTGCCGGGAAAGAACGGGAAGGGCGAGAATCGGCAACCGGGACAATCCAGCAGCCCCTCCCCGGCCCTGGCCCTGACCCCGTGCCTGGCGCTCCTCTAAGTGCTGGACACACAGCAACTCAATGAATCCTCTCGAGCCCGTGACTCACGGGCACCTCATGGGGGGGAAACCGAGGCCCAGGGGGGGCCGACTCCCTCGCCCCAGGACGCAGGCCTAGCTGGGAGAAGCCTGGCTCTGACCACCACCACCCATTGCTTCCGCAACCCATGACAGACACCCGCTGAGCCCGCCCACGACCTGAGGCCCAGGCACTGGGGGGAGATGTGAAGAGTTGGAGAGAGATGGCCACGGCCCACAGCCAGACACACCTGGACAAGAGATGGAGTGGGGAGACCGAGAGGAAAGGGAATGAGCGAGACAGGGAGAGCGGGCAGGGGGGCTACCCAGACGTGGTGACACGGAGCCCCGGAGAGGCGGCGAGGCAGGGAGAGAAAAGCAAACCACACAGGGCAGCAGTGACCTGGGACCGGCAAACCCGAGACAAGGAAGACGGCATGTAATAGAGAGAGGGGGGAACCTGGGTCCGATCCTGGCCACCTGCTCCCAGCAACCTCCGCTGGGAAAGGCAGGAGACACCCCTACCCGGCAGGCCTGCTGGTGGCTGAGACAGGCCCATCCAGGGCCGGCCGGGTGGCTGTTCTCAGAGGAAACCCAAGCCCGTCCACCAGGGGGGCATCGGGCATCCGAAGACCCCCGGCCCCGCGCGCTCACAGCGAAGCGCATCAGGAAACACACGACCAGCTCACTCAGGTCCCCCACCACCACCACCACGCTGCTTAGCACCAGACTAAGCTCCACAAAAAGTGGGGGAACCGTTCAAGAGAGGGTGGGGGCAGGACAAAATTCTCCAGGGGGGACCGGCCCCTCAAAACGACCGACACAGTACCTGGCAGGACAGACACGCCGCAGCGGGGGAGGCCAGGGCTCCCCGCGGCCAATGACGCTTTCTACCTGCCGGACAGTGGACGGCGGCGGGCACGTCACCAGCGCCCCCTCGCCAAGCGCGCAGCGGCCCGAGGAGCAGCGACTACAAACACCCGAAGGCTGGAGGCTCGGACGCGGCCAGGTGGGGCCAGAAGGCACCAGACATCCAGGCGAGCGGACTTTTCCAGACGGCTCCTGAGCCCGAGACGTCAGAACCAGACCCGGGGCCTGGGGGAGGGGCGGTCCGAGCCATGGAAACCACGCAGGAGGCCCGCGAAAAGAGGTCCTGGAAAACGAGAGGCGAAGACAGAACCCTCAAAGCATCGGACCCCCGCGGACACTCCACGCCCGCGCGAGACCCGCTGCCTGAGCACAAGCCCACCAGGAGCGCATTGGACAAGGGTCACGTGGTGTGGCTAGGAGGCCCCAGACTGAATCGTCCCCGC